CCTCTAGTGTTGGGTCCTTTCCCCGTGTAATGTCTGCTTCCTTCTGGGGTCCCTTGATTCTCAGGCAGTGAGGGTTCACGTGGGGTCCACGATGGCCATTGGTTCTAGGCTTACGTGAACGATTGAGTGGTCCCAGGGGCCGGCATTCCTACATTAAACGTGCAGACCTTTCTCCTGGGGCCCCACGTGCCCTCCTTTTGGATCATGACCCCTTTCCCTTGGTGAGGAGGGAAAGGGGCCGAGGCCTAAATGAAGGGACTCAGGACCGACGGGAGAGCAGCAGGTGCCTGGGTCCTTGCACTTGGCGGCATGGATGCCCACGGCGGTTAGACGGGTGGGGTCCCCTGGGGAGGGGCGGTCCTGAAGCCGAGGCGCCGTGGAGGGGGTGGCGTGGGGGGCTTTGGCGCTGGGAGGGGCAGGTGCTGCGGTAGCTCTGCCCGTCGTTTTGAATGGAAAGGTTTCGAGTAAGAAGAGTCAGGCCTCCAAGGTCAGCTGGTGGAGGCCCGGGTCCTGCTTGGTTCTCTGCCTCCCATGGAGGAGATTTAGACTGAAAACACAGCGCGAGGGGCTCGCGGCCCAGGACGAAGGCCCGAGGAGCACCAGGTTGTTCGGAACTCTCGGGCCGGCAGGTTTTTTGTGTGTGATACACTTAAAACACGGGCAAGTGAGATGGCCGTTTTCCTGCCTGGGATCTTTTGATGATTCATGGAGAGAGGGCCTGTGTGCCAGCGTTACTCAGGTTTTCAGAAAGCGGAAAAGGAGGTTTCCTCTGTTTTTCACTGTGATATTTGACTGTAATGTTTTTGGCTAATGTAAGTGTGTCCTATGTTATAGTATAATGTAACCCCAGATGCAGAAAAATCACCGGAGGAGGATTTGTGAGGTTGGCGTGGTTGGACAAAATTTGAGAATGACCAAGATCCCCCAGCTTTGGCCCTGGCTGGTGGGCTCAGTGGTTAGAGCTTCAGCCTGCCTTCCGAAGGGTCGCAGGTTCGATTCTGGTCATGGGCATGCACCTGGTGCAGGTTCCCACCCAGTCGGGGTACGTGTGGGAGACAACCAGTTGAGGTGGCTCTCTCACATCGATGTTTTTCTTTCTCTCTCTCTTCCCCACTCCCCCCCCTTCCACTCTCTCTAAAGTCAATGGGAAAAAATATCCATTGATATTAACAAAAAAAGAAAGAAAGAAAGAAAAAAGGATTAAGAAAGAAAGAAAGAAAGAAAGAAGTTACATAGGCTTTGGAAGCCAGGCAGGAGCATGGTGATATTCCGGGGTAGGTAGTGGATTATTTGTGATTGTCATGGGGGATGTGATTTGATAAAATGTGAGTTTAGAAAGCTGGGCCCAATGGAATAGCAGAGCTTGGTTAAAGGAGAGAGGCTGAAGGTAACTAGACGAGTTAACAACTAAGTTACAGGTTGACGACGATATGAACCAGCAGTTTTCAATCTCGTTTGCTCTCCCAGACACATACCACATGCTTTTCCCAGAGCTTCAAACTCCCAAACTCCCACAGGGGAGGAGGTAGGCTAGGTGCCCTGAACTTTTAGCGCTAGCACTTACTGCCCTGTCCTTCAGCTCAAGAAAGCAAACTAGGGGGAGTGGATGAGGTGACATTAACATGTAGAGGTGATTTTGAATTAGATCTAATTTTGCTGGTATTTGTCTTACAGTGGATGTAACGAAATTTGCCTTTATAACTTGTTTTCTAACTAAGTTTCTTGTGTACTGTGTGTGAGGTGTTATGTTTTTAAATAAAATAATCTCAATTCATTCAGCAACTTTTTTGAAGTAGGTGGTTTCATTTCCCTCATTTTATAAATGAGGACACAAGAGCCCAAAATAGATAAGCCGCTTGCCAGGGGCTGGTTGCCAGAGGCTGATGGTTGCGAATGTGAGCTGACAGGCCAGCCCGGAGTCTGTACTTATTTGGGGCTGTGTTGTTTGGAGAGTCGTGGAGGCACATCAGACAGTTGTAGAGCTAAAATGGGAACCACGACGGGAAATCTGAACTCCTGGAAAACTAACTTATGAACTAGCTAGAAAGGGGGGGGGGGAAGTGAATTTTGAGAACAGGCACAAAAACTGGAGTTTCCAATAGATCAGAGGAACGGGAGAATTAGGATGGCAATAGAGCCAAATATATATGAGAATTTAATGTTTAACTAAAATTTTAGGTGTAATTTAGGTATTTATCTCTTAGCAAACAGTGTCAGACCTCTCCTTCATGTAATGTAACAGGAATGACAGATCGGTTAAAATTAAAAAGACAGTGGAACGTTAGGGGAATAGAAATATAATCTAGAGGAGGCAAGATCTTCTCTTAATAAGTAAGACAAACAACCTGGGAGAAAAATGGCAAAGTCTAAGAGCAGGCACTTCCCCAGGAGGAAATCCTGATTGTCAATGCAACTTCATTAGTGAGTCAGGTGTAAAGGCAAAGCAAAGCAAAGCAAGAAAAAAAAATCTCACTCTTCTTCAGTCAAATTGGCAGAAGTTTAAATGGTTGCATCAGACAGCGTTGGCAGGGAGCCTAGACGCGGGCACATTTGTATAGTGCTGTGGAATGGTTGTCTACAACCCTTTAGGGAAGATAATTGTTGATGCAAGTTTTATAGTGCCCACAGGGCTGTTGTTATACTTAGAAACGAATAGTAAGACCTCAACTTTGGTTTAAATAATAGTACATTATTTTTGATGAAGAAATCAAACATTAGTTCTTCCTTAAGCAGATGATCCTGTTTCATATGTAAATCTAGCAGTGGAGCAGCTAGGTTTTATGGGGCCTGCAAACAACGTTTGGTTCCATTTACAACTTAGATGAGTCACCTTCACCACATTTTAAAATGACTTTTACGTCTTATATATTTGATTTCCTTTGAAAATGTGATCTGACAGTGAAACCTTAAGCACTAATAATAATTCTTAAAAATGTAACACTTTAAACTTTTAAATAGGATGAACCTAAAATTCTTAGTCTAATACAATTAGTCTAAAGGAGTTGCTCGTTATAACCTTTGAGTTAGAGTTATAACATTCCACATTGCAAGTATGTAAAAACACCAAAGGTGTTCACGTTCCTCCCAACATCCTAAATATTAATACTGTGGTTTTAATTTAATCTAAGGGTTAGAAGCTATATATCCACCACTGAAAGCCCGTTACCAGCCCATTGAACAGGTAATGCGCCCACTAGGGAAGAATGTTAATTGAGGTTACTCACCATCAGAGCCCGGGATTCTGGCTGCCGTCTTGTTGGGGATCTGGGTGCAGGACACAGGGAAGCCGTCTGGTTGTAGGCGCTGTGTCCAGTGACTTCATGTCCTCAGGAGCCTGGCCCTGACCTCAGGTGGTACCTATGCTGTGACTCCGTGGGCAGCCTCAGGAATCTCCCACCACCCCACCCAGCCTGATCACTGGATTGAATTTTGTATCACTGGTTATTAAGATGTGAAAATATATTCTTTTCTTCTTAAGCCCTACATACATACATATATGTATATGTGTGTGTGTGTGTGTGTGTGTGTGTGTGTATATATATATATATATATTGATATTTAAGATATCTGGTTGAGTTTTAGATATAACTCATGTTTTTGTCCCATTTATGGTCTCTCCCGATAGTCTAGCAATTTCTGCTAAATTTTAAAACATATTCCTATAACCTACTTTTGCAAATCTTACCAATAGAGGAATTAGTACTGTACAGAGATTTTTGTACAGATTTTTTTTGTAGTGCTGTGATAAATAGTATGCTGGGACAGCCTACCTGCATGGGGCAGTTCAATAAATTGTTTTGTTCTGATTTACTTGGTTAATTCCCAGATATATAAATAAAATATGTAAAAACAACCGACACTTAATATTCATTTATTTGAAGAAACAAATACTTGAATGAATCAGTCACTAAAACAGACACAAACCCCTTTTCTCATGGAACTTACACACACAAAACCACAAGGGCTCAGTCGGGTATTAGAATGTGATGAGTTCTGTAGAAACAGAGGGAAGGAGAGAGTCAGAGCGCTGGCGGTCTCGGGGGCGTGTATGTGCTCAGGCATATTAGCTCGGGAACCTGCTGCCGAGAAAGCCACATTGAAGCAAAGACTGGGAGCCGAGGGAGTGAGTCTTGTGCCTCTTGGGGAACAGCCAGTGCAGGGGACAAAGGGGAGTATCGGGGCGGGGGTCGCCGGTGGTAGCAAGAATAGAAATCTCTTTTCAGGGGTGTTGTTGCTTAGAGAGCAGAACACGGAGGCAGTAGCTTGGAGGGGAGACCACGGTAGAGAGGATTCTTTCTCAATTTGGTGACACAGCATGTGACAGTCCACTTTGAAGGACACGACACAGTCAAGATGGGAGGTGGGCAGCCAGGAAGCCTCGCTGGGGAGCCTTGCTGAGCACAGCGCTGCCTAGCGCGGC